TAATCAGCTCCCGCCAAAAGTTTTAAAGAAGAGTAATTCAATTGAAACAATGCTCCTCCAATCAAATGACGTTGAATTAAGTAAGGTCTCATCTGTGTGTGTGTGTGTGTGTGAGTTTGTGTGTGCGTGCGTGCGTGCGTGCGTGCGTGCGTGTGTGCAGACAGCAGCTTTGGAATTTTAAAACCATGCTTCCACCGACTGCAAAATGTTGGGTTCACTAACAATAACACTTTTCTAAACCGACAAGAAATGTTTTGTTAAATATTCCAATATTACTAGACAAAAGTTAAGATTGCAGCGAAATGGAGTTGAATGAATTTGAATGGGGTCAAGTTTCAGGTAGGTTGAGATCGAAACTTTTGTTGTAAATTACATTCTTTTCATGGATCAGTCAGAATGGATGGACGCGCCTGGCTGCATGTTTAGGTCATTAATTTTTCTCTTCAGGAACTGTGTGATAACATATTTCGTTGAAGACGTGTGCCTGCCTGTGTGCGTGTGTGTGAGTGTGTGTGAGTGTGTGTGAGTGTGTGTGAGTGTGAGTGTGTGTGTGTAAGAGAGAGAGAGAGAATAAAGAAGAGAGGGAGATAGAGAAAGAGAGTCTGTGTGTACATATGTTTATGTGTGTGTGAGCGCGTGTGTTTGTGTTTGGTGTGCGTGAGTGTATGTGTGTGTGTGTTTTTGTGTGTGTGTGTGTGTGTGTGTGGTGCATTGTTTTGTGTGTGAATGTGGGCGTGTTTTTCCTATAGATTTGCTTTACATTTATGTACTATTTCACAGCACCAAAAAAACATTGCACACAATTCTTTTCAGACACACTTGAAATATTTTTAGACAGCTATTGTTTTAACGCAGACATGTAGTGCTTACCATTCATTAAAATTTCTATAAAATTCTTTAAAACTTCAAGTTAAGTTTTTTATTATTTAAAAAAGCAACCGAGGCAGATTTTGTCTAGAGGCAGTTTACACACACACACAACACACACACCACACATAAACACACACACATAAAATATCATACAACCATTAATAAAATCACATTATGACACAAACATCAGTTTCAAATACTTAAATCACCTTCACAGCGTTAACAACTCTAGCTAGCTAAACAAAATTCATCCCAACTTCACAGACAACAAGATAAAAAAAATACAAACATACAAAGAAACAACAAAAATATACAATCATCCTCATAGGTATATATAAACATACTTACATGAAAACACTCACCTACAAACACACACATATACAAATATACACACATACAAACATCTTCATTATCAACAACAAACAGTATTCCCAGCTTTATCAAAACTTTTTTTTTTTTCAAAAACTTTCAAACCAACCAACAAACAAACATACAATGAATGATTCAAAAGGTTTTTTTCCTTTCTATTCAATGCTACTTGGTCGTCAAGTGTAACTAACTATGCCATGAACGAACGAACGAACATACACACCTAACTAGAAGCAATTTTACATGTTGACTGCTATTAAACTTTGAAGAGATCTAACATGACACCCAATAAAGAAATATATTTGTTTATTTTATATATGTGTGTGTGTGTGTGTGTGTGTGTGTGTGTGCGTGCGTGTAAGTGAATCCCGATTTCGAAAATCTTAAAGTTGGCAGGTATGAATTGGTAGTGAAAATAAATGAGTGATCTGATTAACACCAGCCATAAAAAACTTTCCTTCAATAACAGTTTAACGTGTTTAATGCAGAAAAAGTTGGGCGTTTGATTTCAGCATTACTCACAACAAGCAGGGCAGTAATAAAATATATCAGTGACACCATGTACCGATGAAGACGATGAAGAAAGTGACATCTATCAAACTTTTATCAAAAAACAAAAAAATCAGCACAAAAAACAAAACACAAAAGCAATAAAAATTAACACCTAAGCAATCGGCTTGAAGAGAAAAAAAACCATATCAATAAATCAAAAAAACAGTAAAATTAACAATGGCAAACAAAGTTGATATCTTACATCACAGAACTAAAATCACCATGCAAACCTTACATTACAATATCAAGCATTATGGTTATCAGCCAAATCAATGCTCTTAGAACAAAAACATCTGATAAAAAATATTGGTGACGGGTGAAAGTGTCATAGTGTCATCATAATTGTCACATGTCACAAAGTTGAAGACGTAAAGTTTTCGTTAATTCGTTGTTAGAAAGTTAAGTGATTATGTTCTACATACAATATTTAAATTATAAAACAAAGTCACTTTCTGTTTGCAAAGTGATTATGCTTTACAATTATCGAAATGAAAAAAATCATTCTTTGGCCGCAATTATGAAGCAAAGTGATTATGCCAAAGTCAATCTTGGTTCTTTGTTAGAAAACACAGCCAAACACAGGCTGGTATTATATATACAGACAAAGTTTCGCATTAAAGCATCGAAATTCTTTAACTTGATCTGCCCGGTTGACTAAATTCTACCAGTTATATCAAAATTTATTTTTAATATAATTTGCTCTATTAAAGCATCGAAATTCTTTAACTTGATCTGCCCAGTTGACTATATTCTTCCAGTTATATCAAAACTTATTTTTATTATAATTTGTAATATTTTTGCTATATTTTTGTTAAACAGTCGAAAGAAATGGAAAAAACAACAACAAATTTTGCAAAACCAAAAAGCATGACATCAGCCTATGCTTTTTTCATGAAAGCTGCAAGAGAAGAATTAAAGAAAAGTTCTTCTAGCATGTCTTACTCAGAGTTTACTAAGCATGTTTCGGAAAAATGGAAAAATCTATCTGACGAAGATATGAAAACGTATGAGGACATGGCATCTAGGGATTCGATTAGATACCAGGAAGAGATGGCCAACTATGCACTGTCCGATGGTGAGAAAGTGAGAGAAATCGAATCAAGAGATGACAACAAGCCGAAGGAGGTCTATGAAGAATT